TGAAAGGATGGGGGGGGGGAGAGGGGGAGAGTTCGAGTGACGGCACTCTGTGTGTGTTTATGTGTGTGTGTGTGTGTGTGTGTGTGTGTGTGTGTATGTGTGTGTATGTGTGCATGTGTTTGTTTGTGTATGTGTGTGTGTGTGCGTGGGGGTGGGGGATGAGAGGTTACAGAAGCTGTTACAGTTGGGGAGATTAAAGAGACAGGGATTAGATGGGATTGGGGTATTGTTAAAGAAACAGTTGGGAGGAGGGGTGACTGGGTTGAGGATTTAAAAAAAACGTTGTCTTGGGAGAAGGTGGGTGGCAAGGTCTGGAGAAAGGTTGAAGAAATGTAGTTGCTTCTCTGTAAGAATTTTTTTCTTCTTTTTTTCTTGGGGGGGGGGGTGAGTTGAATGGTTTGAGGATGAAGAAGCGTAGACTGAAGTGGCTTCGAAACAACAGTGGCTGTGGTTTCTCAAGGAGGAGGACTTGAAAATGAACAACTGCTTGTCTTATAGATAAAAAGAAAACCTGTTTTCTAATGCGTGTCTCATCTTTTGAAGATTTTAAAAAAAATTGCCTGCCACCATAGAGCGTACATTTGACGCTTTTTGGATCAGATGAAGGACAAGAAGGGAAATTTACTCGTTAATCCGATCCGTACGCTTTGTATAGCAGTCTGTCAAAATGATTTGTTGAGAAATACTGAAAGTTTCAAAGAGGTCTTCGTACTAGAAGTATTCTAAAATGTGAAAAATACAACCCCGGTAATACAAAATGATCCCAAGGCGTACGGATAGGGTTAAGAGCATTCGACTGCAGCGTGACTCTTGTTTTGACCTATATTTTGAGGCCCATGGTGCGCTCCAGTGCAGTGAAGTTTTTTACAGAAAGCCAGGAGCGGCGGCCATGACAGTGCCCGGTCTTGGATATCATAATTGGTCGCTTTTAAGGAAAAGCGGGCTAACCCAGATTTCAGGGGTTTCCAAAAGTGAGCATTGCCCTACCTGGAGGAGAAGTTTGGTTTCACTGGTGTGTATATTTGTTGGGTTATCCAGGAAACTCTCCTTGTATTTTAAAGAAACTGAACAAGGGTCCAAAAACTTTACCTTTGATTTTCTCAGAACATCATTTTTTGGGATAGCCGCCTTGTGCTTAAAAGTCACCAATTCAAGTCTATACTCGAGGATTGAAACCTCCCGCCACAGTATCTACATTACGCCACAGTGAAGGCTCGTGCGAGGAACGATGGGTTCGTGGAGAGGGAAAAGGCAAAACGTAATTTCTGTTCCATTAATGAATTATTATGAATTAAATTAACAATAGCTGCAAGACTTTGCTTTGTTATTGCCCTGTGCTCTATTCCTGCTCTTACTAAGTAACTCTATTATTCATGAATCTTTGTAATTTAGCAACGTCTTATAGGCTCTGTGATAACATTATTGAGGATTTCTATTTTTTAAAAGGGCCAATTCACGCTACCTCAATTTTGAGAAAACTTAATTAGGACTCAAAGATGTGTATTTCGTTTTCCAAAAAAGAAAACGCACTGACTGCACCTTTTTTTTTTTCAAATGGGTTTTTTTTTTCACTGTGACCATGTTATATTTTGTCACATGGGGCTCAGTGAGGCGAAAGATGGAGACATGAAGTGAGAAGTACTGGATGTGCCTCAAGCTATAGTGAAATGTGAATTCGTCCGTTTTCTTATTGGAATCCTCAATTATAACATAGGCCACTTCCATGACATCTGTTCATACTGTATTTTTGTTTGACTGTCAGTACTTTGGTGTGTTAGTATGTTGGTGGTTTAACGCCAGCAAAATGGCTGCTTGCAGTAAATGCTTCCCAGGGAGTTGAGATTGTTTCAGAATGCTATCAGATTTGCTGGGGTGATAATATAAATTGTAAAGCGCATAGAGCTTGCTGTTTAGCGGGAAATTTGCGTTGTAGAAATAATGCTATTTATTTATAACTCTGTAACATCAGGGCGTTTAGTTTTCATGTTCAGGGAAGTAGGGGCACAACAATTCTCTATAGTCCAGAAACAGTATGGTGTGCAAGCGCGTTAAGTAGGTACCCTTCCCTCATCAGACCTTTTCTTTCGACAAGTGGTGTCTCGTAGACAAAGATCGTTCATAACAAGATAGTTCACTCGGCCAAAAAAAGTGTCCACGGAAGTCCGCGCATTGCTTCAGACGGCGCTGCAGTCTGTTTCTTCAGAAGAAGAATAGGAATCGCACAGATTGTTAGTTTCTCTTTTATTGTTTTTCACACAAGTTGGGTAACTCTGTTCGCAAAGTCCGCACTTTTTCGAAGAGGGCACCACCGAATTTTGAGGACACCTTTTTAATTGGCTCAAAGAGAGGAGTGAACTATCTTGTTATGTATGATCTTTGTCGTAGATTCCCTCAGAATTCTGAGACTATTGACATTTTTTGGAGTCGGATCCAAAATATTTCGCAGTTTAAAAAAAGGTCTGAATCACGAAGGGAGTACTTGGTTTGTTTTATGGTGTTGTTTGTGAAGACTAGAATGTTCTGGCAAGGTGTGGCACACTGGCATGATTGTAGGTCTCTTGGGCAGAGTCTCTGTCAGGCCATTCCATGAAAAAAGGAAACTGCAGAGACACACGTAACAATGTTGATGACTGATTAGAAAAATTGTAAACAGTGATAGAACCAGGGTTTAGTTTTTGTTTTGATTTGTTTTTTGGTTTGGTTTTTTGGGTAGTTTGTGTGTGTGTGTGTGTGTGTGTGTGTGTGTGTGTGTGTGTGTGTGTGTGTTTTGTTGTTGTTTTTTCCTTTTTTTGGCAGACGAAAGTTGCCTCAAATAGAACAGTATACAATAAAGGATGACACTATTAATGCTTAGAAATTTTTTTCAAGAGATCACCATTTCCACGTTAAATGTGTCACTGCCGTTTCATTTGTCATGGAATGGCCCTATGGTACATTTGCTGCTTTTTAGCTTTAGTAAAAGTTTTACGGCACTTGCAACACAATAAGGTCATATAAGTGCAGAAGATTAGAGGTGTTACAAGAGAGTATCAAACACAAAAAAAGGAAGTGGGGAGAAAAAGACGAGAGCTTTTTATAGGAAAGAAGAAACAAATCGCACCAGAGCACCTACCAACCACCGACACATACGCTGCAAAAACTGCACCGTCATAAATCTCTCTCGTGAGAAGGCTCCAGAAAAATAGATACACTCAATTTTTTTTTATTCCCCTTCCCAGCAATTTTACAAAACTGCCATAATTTTGAGACCCGCAAAGTTCTCTAAGAATAATTATATCTGGGGTTGTGAAAATTAATTCCTTATTCTCTGTAAAATAATCATGCGCTGTAAATTATCAAGTTTTGCTAGGGCAGGGGGGGGGTGTTAAATTTGTT